TACAAAGTACAAAGTAGTTTAGCAGTCCTTATTTTAGTTTTATGAAGCAAATGGAAGAATTAATAATTAAATAATGCCTAAATAATAATGTTAACTTTTCAGATCTTTTGTGGTCTTCTTCTGATCTCTAGGTGGCATTCTCCAATCTTATCCGTTTTAGTTTCTTCTGTAAGTACTCCATGCTAACTTAATTCTTCTTTTGTTTTTTTGGTACTAGAGATCCAGAGCTGTGTATTATATAAAAGTATCGCAAATATATTAAATAAAAATATCGCCAATAATACATACATAATATACTGTTATTTACAAAACATAAAAATTATTTGCTTAACTTTTAAGCTCTTCCAATTATTAAGTAAGAAGAACGCAAGCATATGTTAATAAAAACTTGTTTAAAAAGAAAACACCACAATGAACAAATTTATTTTTTTTAGTTTGGCTAAAACAAGAAATAATCCCTAAAAACGTTGTTTTCACGATCGAATACATTTGGACTTTAATACGTTCTTTTTAAAGGGGAAGTTGCTTTTGTATAAAAATGCTAATTTTATTTTCGCTATAACACCTTCCAATTTGCTATATACTATCCTTCTACCTAATTTGCATTTCTCGGTCTTAAACTTAATTGAACAAACCAATAACCTTAAAGCCTCCACCCAATGTTAATCTAGGCATCTCTTTAATCGATATCTCCGTTAAGTTATGCAATTCCCAAGCCACTCTAAGGAAATTAAAAACAAAGACAAAGCAAGTTTTTGACTAGAGAAATAAAAGGAAGAAACTGATTAATTAGTATAAGGTTTATTTACCATATTATTTAGAGTAATTCTCTGTTGATTGAAATTCTATTGTAACATGTCATTAAATGCAATTCGATCTATGCCGGGACCCCATTGGCCAACACGCCACGACAACGCGACGCCATGCTACCCCACGTCATGAAGATTTGTGCGTATATTTTTCCGTTTAATTACATGTATTGCGTACACACTAGTCAACACGCCACGCCATCCGACGCTATAACACGCTATCACACGTGTGATGGGCGATTCGTCTGTCCCAGATCTCACGACGGCGACGTATGTTACAGCGTGTTCTTCCCCGCTTGCCTCTCTAGTCCCCCGGCTATCATCTTTTGTAGTTGATGTAAGGATGTCCCAAAAATGAAAAAAATCGATATTTTGAATCGATTCAAACATCGGTTATAACAAGATAGATCCAAAAAATATCGTCAACAAAAGATTCATCTTATTAAATATCGATATTCGATTCTGAATATATTGGTGTACTGGTATTATGATTATAATCTAATATCGGTATGGGTTTGGTTTCTTCTAGTATTTTCGTAATCTTACTGATAACTTTTTTAACTCTAATAAAAATTTCAGGCGTGTTAACACGTATTACAAAATGTGTACACCCATTCCCACGTCGCAACACTTGGGATAGCGTGGCGTGGCGTAGGGTGTTGGCTAATTAAGCCAACTTAAAGTCGGCTTTAAGCTACACAAAACAAATATTTAAACCTGTTTTTGAATGACAAGCAATTTATTAAAATAATTGAAAGCTACTGTCGTTCGGACAATGATTAGCTATCAGGATGAAAGCTTTGCGTTTGTGGGCAAAACTAAGTATTTGGCAGGCAAAACCTTTGGCGGACTAAGCCTATCGGTGGCCAAGTCCGCGGAAATTATGATATCCAAATATCAAATTTACTTCATGACAAACGAAATAACGGCCTGTGTAACGAAAGTTTTTTTATGCAAAACATTTAAATACAATTCTTGAAAATTGAAAAGACTTTAAAAGTTTATAACTTATTGATCGTTAGTAGGTAGATTTTATAGTAATTAATCACAGAAGCAGGTATTTCGAAATACGCCATCCAGCGAATTCAGGTACTTTAACCACCAAAGCCATTCAAATGATCCCGCTAATGCAAGTAATGGAAATGGTTATGCAGCGTTAAGTGGCTTTGAATACAATCATTAATGTATTAGTAGACGATCCTAATGGAAGTATGATTTATGGATTACTATATTAAAACTTTATAAGAGTCGATTATACAGGGTGATTAACATAAGTTTGAAGAAGTTTGCATTTACACACAAATTTACATGATACTTTTAGCTTCTTCTGCACGTATATGTTTAAATTGAAACTTTGTACACTTATCAAGCTTCTGATAGAAAACAAAGTTGTTTAGGTAGTCAACAAAAGGTATTTATAAGTTTAGACTGTAGATTGTAAGTTATATCGAAGGGGGTAACTTATTATCGCCACCTTATAAATCTATTGTGTTCCCCTTTCTTGAGCTATAACTTATCATACAATCTCAAAGCTTTAAAGAAAGCCAGTATTTTGAGAGTCGGTTTTACAGAGATTAGTTCTCCATCTCCGATCAGTCGTACCAGAGTTCATGGCATGAATGGTTGCCGTCTCGGTGCTTTCAGTGTTGAGGTGTGTTGGTATTTTCCGATATTCCCCACAGAATCTGAATTTGCCATTGTTTCTTAGCTTCAATCTACTGAGGTGTTCATTGAGGTGACAGTGTCCTGTTAAAAACCCCGTGATAATCCAAAGATTGTTCTTACAAAATCTTTAAGCATCCTTGATGGTAAGCTTTGACAATTTTTTTGGAATGTCTTAAGCCAGGAATGCCATGTCTTGTACCGCTACGCAACTTTGCATACAGTATCGGACAAAATTAGAGCAACTTTATGATTTTTTCCACTTAAGGCAAATTATTTTGTAATATGAATTTGAAACTACTACCCTAAAACACGAGTTACAAATGAAACAAGAAAATACTAACAAATCTTTATTTCCTATTGTTTCTTTAAAAAAAATAATAAATTCCAATAATCCTATTTTTTACTGCGACAAAATTGAATCAACTTTTATTTTTTTCCATGCTATTAAGAATACAAACTAAATTTAAGTATAAAAAGGCCGCATTATCAATATTTTGTCCAGTACCCTTTATTTGCTATCACAGCTTTTGACGCAATGACGTCAGCATCCATTGACATCCAAGCATTTTCAATTTCTTGATACAAACTATCACAATTTGAAATATTTTTTGAACGAACCTTCTTTTCTACTATTTCCCACAAATTTTCAGTGGGGTTGAGGTCAGGTGATTGTGGGGGCCACTTTAAAACTCGAACATTATTATCATTAAACCACTGTTTAACAATTTTCGCTGCGTGTTTTGGATCATTGTGGTATGTTGGTATATGAATTTAAGTGGCATTTCCCATTCTGCATAAGGCCACATAAAATTTTCAAGAATATTGCGGTTCACAAATCGGTCCATTTTTCCACATATTTTGTATAATGGGCCCATACCGTAGGAAGAGAAACAACCCCAAACCATTATATTTCCTCCTCCATGTTTAACTGAGGGATTTACGTATTTTGGGTGTAGCCTTTTGCTTTCTGGACGACGTACCCATCTAGCACCTAATCATAAATGAAACAATATCTTTTTTGACCAAAAACCTTGTTGATATGTCTGCCTGCGACATGCCACCTTTGTAGGCGTCAACGATGCGTTGTTTCAAGTCAATTGAATATGTATACCCCGAGGCATTCTACAGAGCAAAATGGTTACTTGTATCAACACTCCCAGAAAACTAACACTGCGTAAAGATCAAGTTGCTCTAATTTTGTCTAAGAATTTTATTAACATATTTGAAAAAATGCAAAAAATAACCGATAAGGAATACATTTAAGTCAACAAATAATCGAAATGTTTTGGTTGAAAGAAACATTCCATTGCAAAAATAAATAAACCGATTCAAATAAATGATGGCAGTTAAATTAACATTTTTCTATAGTTGCTCTAATTTTGTCCGATACTGTACATCATACAGCCTATTTCCTTTGCGTTTAAATGAACTGCACACTCATCTGACGCTAAGCTATCTGACGTGTTATAACGCGTTGGGTCGCAATAAAATGCGGCTAGTCCAGATTTTCGTCGGAAGCCATCAGAACCTTCAGAAAGTTTTCAACCGCTTAGCTGCACACAGTGACATTTGATTTCTTTAAAATGGACGAAATTTTATTAATTGAGAGCGTTAGAAACTATGAAACTATGAACCTCTTTTCGTTTATTTTGTGTATCCACAATTTTCTCTTTTCTTCCTTATTAACGTAGAACAAACAGCCGCAGCATATTCTTCAATTTCTTCTTAAAATTCGTCTGATGAACTAGAAATGTGTGTATTGGTTCGGAATATTTAGTTTTCGGTCCAAATATTTTAGGAGGTATATCTCCCCCGGTCTCAGAAACAAAAAAAAACAAGAGAATAGAGGAAAACTATATATTATAATGACTAAGTTTCACATTATATTTTAGACATTTTTAAAACAGAAAATTGAGATAATTTTTTTCATAAAACTATGCTAAAGCATGAAAAATATAACTTTAATATACATAAACAATCTAATGCCATAATATTTTCATACTTTTACATAAAAATTGTAAACTAAATGGAGTTTCCGAGTATATTGTAAATATTGCGAGGTATAATTAATGGTAACAATAATGAAGCATATGTAATATTTAATTTTGCATTAATGCAGAACATAACTCTGTTATCGAATGTGTGTATATATACGTTATCAGAAGTCATCCGAAAATAATGGGTGCGGTTTATAAATTCCATGAAATATGCATGTTTAACTGCCGTTATTGCAAGCATTATTATGTTTGGTTTTAATGCAGTTATTATGGCAATAACTGAGGGATGTATTACTGAATGAATGTAGAACAGAATAGGTTTCGGAATATTTCTGTATTGTTCTTCAATTACACGCATTCATACCATATATTATTAAATAATAAACTCGTAGAACTGGCAGTTAACATAAATAATATATTTTTTGTTTTATTTTTTGATATTATTGGACTTCCTTGCACTAATGGATAACTCTGTATAAATCAAGATTTATGTTATTGCGTACTAATTTTTATTTTTGTTTTTTTGCAGATAGCCCTAACGATCAAAACTATATTTTAGAGACGATCACTATGTCGACGGTAACTCAGCAGCAGATTCTTCGGGATGCCGAGAATGACAGATACTCTCACCAGTCCAGCCAAAATTATCAGCCTGGCGGTTCTCCGATTAGCGGTATTTTAAAAGGAGGAAAGTTATGGAAGCAACAGAGTCAGCAAAGCATGGATATTAGCTCACGGGGAAACGACATGGCGCCAGTAACTGTAAGATTTCTCTCTTTTCTTGTTAATTAGTAATCATTTTAATTTTTAAATATTTGGTTTTCTAATAAAAGAAATGTGTATCATGCTTTAGGAAATTATAACTACCATAGTTTCTACATAATTTCTCGTTAGTGTATTTCTTTATAACAGTTGGTTACTGGCAATATGTACCTATACATTTTATACTTTTATATACTAAAATATTAAAAATATATATTTTAATCATCATCTCCCTGATAACATTTTTGACTAAATATTAATTTTTAAGTTTTCTTAGTGTTTATCTGACAATGCATATTTTTGTAATATTCAAATTTGTGTTTAATATTCAAAATTTTGTAAACTAAAAAAAAATACAAAAAAGAATTTTATGTATGCCGATAACCTGGCAAATGTATTCATTTCTATCCGGACATAATTTTTATAATTTTATAAATAAAAACATGTTTCTCAGTAGTTTTTTGTTTATATTAGACTTTTTTAGAGGCTTTTTCAAGAAATTCTAAAACATATGTTAAAATATTTAACTTATATTTACCATTACTTCTCCTAAGATCTAATATCAGGTTTCTTATTTCATATTTTTAGTAAAATATTTTGTAAAATACGCTGACAATATAGGGCAATTTTTTAAAATTTACAGGTTGATTGAAATATATTTTTATACGACGGCGACGTGTTTTATACACGGTGAGTCTTAAATAAGTGCAAATATTTTTAGGAGTAGTATATTTCGACTCCAGAAACAAGACTATGAGTTTTTTTAGCGCAAAAATTTGAAAATTTCGAATTTTTTGAAAAAATTTGGATTTTTTTTAATTTTTAGTTAAAAAACATAATTTCTTGATAATATGACAGTGTTGGTAGTAGATTATATTTACAAGAAAGAAAACCCAGAAAAGGTTCAGTGGCTTGCAAAATTTAAGCAAAAAATTATTTTTTTGGTAAATTAGTAAAATAACTCGGTTATTTTGGACTTACTTGAAAAACGGTAATAAGAAAATACGTTTCTTTTATCGAGATTGATCAGCCCTGAAAATATTTGCACTTATTTAAGACTCACCCTGTAGAAATTAATTTTTATTCAACTTTGTATTGTAGTAAATAACTTTTAAACCAAATGCTGTTCACTAATTTCGGAATTTTTTATATTTAAGAAATGGTGAATCATTTATTCGAAAATTATGCTGTTGGTCAATTGGTCCTTTTTACATAATTTCTTGATAGAAAACGTAGTATAATTAATTATAATAGCTGGTTATATCCATTACAGGTTATACATTTTATACTTTTAGGTATTGAGAATATTGGTGATACCTTGATAAATATTTCATATTTCATTTTCAGTCTTTGCATTGTAATGAATAATTTTTAAACAAAATTACATAATATAAATAATACACATTTCCTGTTTTATAATGATGCATCAACACAATTATGATATTTAATAACTTGTAAAATAATCTGAAATTAAATTAGACGTCTTCCCATAAGTCTTGATGCTGATAGGAATGACATTTCACTGATAAATCTTATTAAAAGAAAGAAACAATAAAGAGTGTGCTTTATATTTGTCAATAAATATTGATTGTTAGTATGGGTGCTTAACACATTGTAAAGTAGGAAAACTTATGATATAAAATTCAAGATGTTTCTTTGAAATAGTGGAAAAATATATTATCTAGTTTTGATTCATTGTGTATGATTAATTTTGAAAAAGCACTATCATAAAATACTTCCAGTTAATAAAATCCGCATGATTTAAAATATATTGAATATTTAATCTAACAACGGTCATATTTCAAAAAATACTCGGTAGAGATAAATTGTGACATTACGTTTTTGGAATGGAAATTTTATGACAAATCTATGGATTTTAAAAAATATATGGCGTTTCATTTAAAATTACCATTTTAATGTAAACAATTAATTGCATTACCTTATAGGTATATCCATATTCACATTTTTTGTAGATGACTAGATTGAAAATCTCAAATAGGAAACCTCATATTTTTGTTGGAATACTTCGTCTCCTTGTAGTTTGATACCCACAAGATTACATTTTTATTAAACAGGATGTTTCAATTAATTTTAATTTCTCGTGCTTAGGTTCCAGAAACAATTACTTCAGACGACGAGACCGCCAATAGAAGATCAGTCCGCTTCTTCGAAACAGAAGAAAAAGAGAAAAGGGACAGTTGCGACGGTGCCCCAGCCAGTTCGACCGAAGAAGAAGCCCACAAGGATGACGTACCCGATACCCAGGTTAACGCCAAGCAAGAAACGTACATTGGGAACACCACGTCTCCGGATGCGACGGAGATGATGTTGACGTTTAAGCTCGGCAACCACGTGCTCATCTCCAACAATAGTCTGAAGCCCAATTCGGCCGTCAGGCAGTTGTTTCCTTGTACGAAGACTTTGGGGATGACAGAAGCGGGAGAAGAAGAAAATTCACAGCAGGTAATATTATTGACCTATCACAGATTAAATTTATATCTAACAAACGCTCGGTAGTACATCGCGTATTTTTGATTTGTTAGTATATTATCAGATGACTTATCAAACTGCGGTGGGATTCCAAGGAACTTTCTTGCTAGTGACTCACACTTACTCGGCTTTTTTATCGAAAATATTTAGTCCATTATACAACAATCATACTACAGCTTCCAAAAATATCATAGTTTTATATTTTACCATCACTATAACAAGACCTTTTAACATCTGTCTTGTCGAGTCTAGCCGAACATCGCGTTCGGGTCATGATAGTTTCCGAATAACCAATCAATAAATGTCTCGAAATTTTTTGATTGGTTGGGATGAAAATATTAGTCGGCTAATTTTGTAAATTGAGGAAAATTATACATCCTAAAAATATTATAAGAATAACTGCCACTAGCAAGAAATTTCATGTTATGAACTTACAGAATCCCACCTCTGCTATCAACAAAAAAATTAAATCAGATTTTTAAATTTAAGAAATGTGTCCCATACATTCGAAAATTATGCTGTTATAAATTGCTATACTTTCTTTAAATAATTTCTCGATAGCAAAGGTAGTATAATTAATTATAATAGCGGATTACTGGCAATATGTATATATTTTATACTTTTATGTACTGAGACTATTGGGGATACGTTGATAAATATTTAATTTTTGAGTTTTCTCAGTAAACCGGCAATATATCCTTCTTTAATATTCAAATTTGTGTTTTAGCCTTGACAAACAGTAGTTAATTTAGTTGGTTAAAACAAGTATACCATTAATATTGCAAATTATAATTTATCCTCTCATAGTATACTAGGGTCGGCATTTCTTGTCTTGGGTGCCGATTTTCGTGTGTACAAAGAGTACGGTAAACACGCTTATTAAAATAAGATGTACTGAATAGAGACAGAAGGCAAGTATTTTCCCAAGTGCATGGAACTTAGTGTCAGATTAAGTCGTTATGTAATAAATCCTTCGTATTTTTGCTTTCTCCGCTTTACTAGATTGCCATAGTGATTCACTCCAATGTTTGTAAATGTAATTTTTTGATTATGTAATGGGCATTTTGTTTACTCACTTGTTTCGTCGAGCTGCTTGAATCAATTTTTTCTTTTGATCAAATCAGTGTGAGAAGTTGTGAAGCAATAAAATATTGTTTAGTGGAGAGTTGAATATCCGGGAAAGTTGAGTTTTTGAATGTTATTGAACCCAACAACCACGTAATTACGCCCTCCTTTACGTGTTTCGTACTTTGTACTTTACATTTTTTCGAAAATTTTATTAACATTTGAAATTCTCACAACACAAAGTGGCGCTCAGTTCGGGTTAGTTTTCACTTAATTTTTACTACTCAAAACAGCGTTACATCAGACAAACATCGTACCTGAGTGTTTTATTGTTTCAATAACTGCACCATTAAAAACTAAAATACTTAAATATTATGACAAAACCACGATTTTAATATTATCTCAACGCGCTCAACATCAGAACTGTGTTAAATACAGAGCTGAAAGCCTACACCAACCGAAAAAGAGATTAAAACATAATATATGTTACAAAAAGTGCTTATTTTAAATATTATATATTTAAATATTATAATTTTCCATTTTGCTCTTATCTTAACGTAACATTTTTAACGTTGTGCATGCAACTATCCACATGATATGAAATTTACGCTTTATTCTAAATTAAACAACACAAATCAAAAACAAAATTAGCAACAGCATCGATAAATAACATGATTAAATCAACATGTTTAATTAGCAATTTAATATTAAATTTATTTTATACCATATCAAAATTATCGCAAATACAATTCGAAAATATTCTAATATACTGTGTTTTATCAAAAGAGAGCTCTTTACAGGCTTTATTGAAATCGCTCTCTATTTATCATTCTGTTTTATGCATTGACATTATTGAATATTGAACGTATACTTTTTTATTTTTCATCCATTGGCAGTTATTAATCGTTAATGATAGCCAGAAATGCCGATATGAGTTCAAACATAAATCAACAAAAAAATTCTTCATCTTGTATATTATGTATCATTCCGGTTCGCTGGTTAAATAGGTTGGATTTGAGCCGGTAAAAATTGTCCAGGGTTTTATTCAATTTGATAGGTTCGGAAGCAATTCCAATTCAGAACGGTCTTTATGCTTGAGTAGTACATTTTATTTACGAAAACCTTTTGTTCTTTGTCGAAAAAAAAGTTATATATCGGTGAGAGTTTTTTGCCACTATACAGATATTTCGGATAAGGGTTGTTTTTTTCACTGTATTATTAAAGATGGTTGAGTGTTTATCGAATGTTCTTGTCACTTGATTGAGGAAGGAACTTGAGAAGCAATATTTTTGACACAGAACCTTGAAATTTTTATAATACATGGATACATATCAATAAAATATCAATGTTAGTCAAATGTATGTTTATACATCTATACCGGGTGTTTCTCACTTTGGCTCACCCCTATAATTATTTTATTTTTTCGTATAAAAAACTAGATTTCGTTAGGTTAGGTTAGGTTGTATATGACATAAATCAGGAATATTTGGACGTATTCAATTTTATTTGGTCACTTTCTGTTTCACCAGAAATAGCTACAACTTTTGACTTTTTCATGACACCCTTGGTATTTTTTTACTTTATTCTATAGAAAATGACACTCTGAATAGAATGGCATATGATATGTCAACTTTTGACATTTTCGCATATGGTTTATTTGAAATTATAACATGCGGTTCATAACGATAATTCGACTCGAAATACCAAGTGTGTGGTACTAAATTATTTGTAAAAAAATGCTTTTTGAAATATGCTAATGAGCCAATACGATTTGGGCATCTTTTAACCAACCAGGACAAGAGACGAAAAAGTATTAGACGAAATCAATTTTTCCAAGACTCCTTGATTAAAAATTAGTGTTTTTAACACAGCCATGACACTCTAGATTGAAATTTAAAGTATGATTTTTTCAAAAGAAAATGTCAAAAGTTGTTATTTTTTTATGTCAAAGTTGACATAAAAAAATATAAAAAAAACCGAGGATCCCGTTTAAAAATCAAAAGTTGGAGTAATTTCCGGTGAAATAGGAAGTGACCAAAAACAATCGAATACGTCAATCATGTCATGTACTAACATACCAAGTCTCGTTTTTCTATCTGAAAAAATAATTAGAGTTATAGAGGTAAGTCAATTTTGAGAAACACTCCGTATGTGCTTCAATAGAGCCTATATCATCCGATAATCCTTAGCTTTTTACACAAAAAAGATAAATGTTTTATACCGTATGATCGAGAAAAACGGCTTCTAGTTGGCTTGTAAATAGTGATGGGAAAAACCGATTAATTTCAATAATCGAGTACTAATCGAGTAATATTAAAGAAGGTATTTTTATAATTTTCGGCAACATTGGCTATATAAGCGTTACACTTTATGAATCCTGAGCAGATTCAACAAAGCAAATTTTAATAGGTACAAAATTGATTAATAATGCATAAGCTTTTATGTACACAGAATATAAAGCTTTGTACCGAAACAATACGCCGCATAAAGAATGGTTACACAAAGAAATGACAGGAACATAGAATCGGGAGAATCTTAATTAACTAAGACTTTGAAACGACTTGTTCGGTTCCGAGAATCGATGCGAAAACAAAGGGTCTATTTTCGTTGGCGAAGTTTCGAAAATTCGAAAATGTTTTCAAGTTTTATAATCAATATTGACTATATAAATAGGAAAGGAAACCACAAAACACAGAATAATAAAGAGACTCGTCATTAAAACTGAAATATTGAATAGCCGGAAACCAGTCAAAATAGGAAGATATGAAGTGCATGTTGTCTCGTTAGATATAGCCAAAGAATAATTAAAAGAAAGAAAAATAATGTATATATTTTTCTTTTTGGTGAAAGTCATAGGGTAGGTAAACTTTTTATTTCTTGCCGCAATTTCTCTCGACGGATGATAATCAAAGGCCAAAATGACATTACTCACAAATTTTGAAGTATAATTAGTGGAGAAAGTTAAATGTTTGTTAACTTTCTCTGCTAATTGATAATTACTACCACTAATTTTGACAATGAAATTAAAGGAACAAATTTCTACATTAAATGAAACCTTTAATTTATTCCACTAATTTTGAATGAATCTTAAAGCTTAACTCAGAACCTTGCAATTAGTGGAATAAATTAGTGGTTACAATTAGCGTACAAGTTTGTTCATTTAATTTCAATGTAAGCATTCAGAACGTCAAAATTAGTGGTACACATTTTAAATTAGTAGAAAAAGTTATGAAATTTTTAAGTTTTCTACTAATTATACTTCAAAATTTGCGAGAAATGTAATTTTGACCTTTGATTATCTTCAGTGGAGAGAATTGTGGTTAGAAATTAAAAGTTCATTGTTTTATAAGCCAAATATTAGGCTGTCTTTATGGATACAACTTAGTAACGCAAGCTGTTAATAATTAATTTTAATTGTGATTTTTAAGTATTGTGGATGATCAAAAGTATTTTTGATCATCAAGTGTAATTAAAACCACTAATTTATTCCACTAATTGCGAGGTTCTGTGAATGAAGCTTCAGCATTTTATTAAGTGATTAAATAAATTATCTTAACATGGTCATATTCCGAGAGTGTCAGTCCATTCTATAAACGTAATTTTGCCATTACTCTTTTGCAGAGCAGGTTTTATGTACTTGTCATGTTTTTAGGAACAGTATATGTGCCAATTATGTCATTCACAAATGACGTACTTACCGTATATATATACTACGGTTTCTATGCCAACTACACCTTTCTTGGAAAGACTTCTAGATTTTTCGCAACTAGAAGAAAATCTACAAAATTTAAAAGTTATATATCGTCTTATTATATAGGGTGATCCGAACTGTACTACGGAAACTTCGGCAGCATATTCTGCAGATAAAAATAAGTAAAAAAGTTCGTATAAATGTTATCGTTATTGTC